AGCCGAGACTCTTCTTTATGTGTCCAGATGTGACGTAATGACTCAATATAGTCTACTAGCCGAGACTCTTCTTTATGTGTACAGATGTGACGTAATGACTCAATATAGTCTACTAGCCGAGACTCTTCTTTATGTGGACAGATGTGACGTAATGACTCAATATAGTCTACTAGCCGAGACTCTTCTTTATGTGTACAGATGTGACGTAATGACTCAATATAGTCTACTAGCCGAGACTCTTCTTCATGTGTACAGATGTGACGTAATGACTCAATATAGTCTACTAGCCGAGACTCTTCTTTATGTGTCCAGATGTGACGTAATGACTCAATATAGTCTACTAGCCGAGACTCTTCTTTATGTGTACAGATGTGACGTAATGACTCAATATAGTCTACTAGCCGAGACTCTTCTTTATGTGTACAGATGTGACGTAATGACTCAATATAGTCTACTAGCCGAGACTCTTCTTTATGTGTACGGATGTGACGTAATGACTCAATATAGTCTACTAGCCGAGACTCTTCTTTATGTGTCCAGATGTGACGTAATGACTCAATATAGTCTACTAGCCGAGACTCTTCTTTATGTGTACAGATGTGACGTAATGACTCAATATAGTCTACTAGCCGAGACTCTTCTTTATGTGTACAGACGTGACGTAATGACTCAATATAGCCTACTAGCCGAGACTCTTCTTCATGTGTACGGATGTGACGTAATGACTCAATATAGTCTACTAGCCGAGACTCTTCTTCATGTGTACAGATGTGACGTAATGACTCAATATAGTCTACTAGCCGAGACTCTTCTTCATGTGTACAGATGTGACGTAATGACTCAATATAGTCTACTAGCTGAGACTCTTCTTCATGTGTACAGATGTGACGTAATGACTCAATATAGTCTACTAGCCGAGACTCTTCTTCATGTGTACAGATGTGACGTAATGACTCAATATAGTCTACTAGCCGAGACTCTTCTTCACGTGTACGGATGTGACGTAATGACTCAATATAGTCTACTAGCCGAGACTCTTCTTCATGTGTACGGATGTGACGTAATGACTCAATATAGTCTACTAGCCGAGACTCTTCTTTATGTGTACAGATGTGACGTAATGACTCAATATAGTCTACTAGCCGAGACTCTTCTTTATGTGTACAGATGTGACGTAATGACTCAATATAGTCTACTAGCCGAGACTCTTCTTTATGTGTACAGATGTGACGTAATGACTCAATATAGTCTACTAGCCGAGACTCTTCTTTATGTGTACAGATGTGACGTAATGACTCAATATAGTCTACTAGCCGAGACTCTTCTTCATGTGTACGGATGTGACGTAATGACTCAATATAGTCTACTAGCTGAGACTCTTCTTTATGTGTACAGATGTGACGTAATGACTCAATATAGTCTACTAGCCGAGACTCTTCTTTATGTGTCCAGATGTGACGTAATGACTCAATATAGTCTACTAGCCGAGACTCTTCTTTATGTGTACAGATGTGACGTAATGACTCAATATAGTCTACTAGCCGAGACTCTTCTTTATGTGTACGGATGTGACGTAATGACTCAATATAGTCTACTAGCTGAGACTCTTCTTTATGTGTACAGATGTGACGTAATGACTCAATATAGTCTACTAGCCGAGACTCTTCTTTATGTGTCCAGATGTGACGTAATGACTCAATATAGTCTACTAGCCGAGACTCTTCTTCATGTGTACAGATGTGACGTAATGACTCAATATAGTCTACTAGCCGAGACTCTTCTTTATGTGTACAGATGTGACGTAATGACTCAATATAGTCTACTAGCCGAGACTCTTCTTTATGTGTACAGATGTGACGTAATGACTCAATATAGTCTACTAGCCGAGACTCTTCTTTATGTGTACAGATGTGACGTAATGACTCAATATAGCCTACTAGCCGAGACTCTTCTTTATGTGTACGGATGTGACGTAATGACTCAATATAGTCTACTAGCCGAGACTCTTCTTCATGTGTACGGATGTGACGTAATGACTCAATATAGTCTACTAGCCGAGACTCTTCTTCATGTGTACAGATGTGACGTAATGACTCAATATAGTCTACTAGCCGAGACTCTTCTTCATGTGTACAGATGTGACGTAATGACTCAATATAGTCTACTAGCCGAGACTCTTCTTTATGTGTACAGATGTGACGTAATGACTCAATATAGTCTACTAGCCGAGACTCTTCTTTATGTGTCCAGATGTGACGTAATGACTCAATATAGCCTACTAGCCGAGACTCTTCTTTATGTGTTCAGATGTGACGTAATGACTCAATATAGTCTACTAGCCGAGACTCTTCTTTATGTGTACGGATGTGACGTAATGACTCAATATAGTCTACTAGCTGAGACTCTTCTTTATGTGTACAGATGTGACGTAATGACTCAATATAGTCTACTAGCCGAGACTCTTCTTTATGTGTCTAGATGTGACGTAATGACTCAATATAGTCTACTAGCCGAGACTCTTCTTTATGTGTCCAGATGTGACGTAATGACTCAATATAGTCTACTAGCCGAGACTCTTCTTTATGTGTCCAGATGTGACGTAATGACTCAATATAGTCTACTAGCCGAGACTCTTCTTTATGTGTACAGATGTGACGTAATGACTCAATATAGTCTACTAGCCGAGACTCTTCTTTATGTGTCCAGATGTGACGTAATGACTCAATATAGTCTACTAGCCGAGACTCTTCTTTATGTGTCCAGATGTGACGTAATGACTCAATATAGTCTACTAGCCGAGACTCTTCTTTATGTGTACAGATGTGACGTAATGACTCAATATAGTCTACTAGCCGAGACTCTTCTTTATGTGTACGGATGTGACGTAATGACTCAATATAGTCTACTAGCCGAGACTCTTCTTTATGTGTCCAGATGTGACGTAATGACTCAATATAGTCTACTAGCCGAGACTCTTCTTTATGTGTCCAGATGTGACGTAATGACTCAATATAGTCTACTAGCCGAGACTCTTCTTTATGTGTACAGATGTGACGTAATGACTCAATATAGTCTACTAGCCGAGACTCTTCTTCATGTGTACAGATGTGACGTAATGACTCAATATAGTCTACTAGCCGAGACTCTTCTTTATGTGTCCAGATGTGACGTAATGACTCAATATAGTCTACTAGCCGAGACTCTTCTTTATGTGTCCAGATGTGACGTAATGACTCAATATAGTCTACTAGCCGAGACTCTTCTTCATGTGTACAGATGTGACGTAATGACTCAATATAGTCTACTAGCCGAGACTCTTCTTCATGTGTACAGATGTGACGTAATGACTCAATATAGTCTACTAGCCGAGACTCTTCTTTATGTGTACAGATGTGACGTAATGACTCAATATAGTCTACTAGCCGAGACTCTTCTTTATGTGTCCAGATGTGACGTAATGACTCAATATAGTCTACTAGCCGAGACTCTTCTTTATGTGTCCAGATGTGACATAATGACTCAATATAGTCTACTAGCCGAGACTCTTCTTCATGTGTACAGATGTGACGTAATGACTCAATATAGTCTACTAGCCGAGACTCTTCTTTATGTGTCCAGATGTGACGTAATGACTCAATATAGTCTACTAGCCGAGACTCTTCTTTATGTGTCCAGATGTGACGTAATGACTCAATATAGTCTACTAGCCGAGACTCTTCTTTATGTGTACAGATGTGACGTAATGACTCAATATAGTCTACTAGCCGAGACTCTTCTTTATGTGTACAGATGTGACGTAATGACTCAATATAGTCTACTAGCCGAGACTCTTCTTTATGTGTACAGATGTGACGTAATGACTCAATATAGTCTACTAGCCGAGACTCTTCTTTATGTGTCCAGATGTGACTTAATGACTCAATATAGTCTACTAGCCGAGACTCTTCTTTATGTGTCCAGATGTGACGTAATGACTCAATATAGTCTACTAGCCGAGACTCTTCTTTATGTGTACAGATGTGACGTAATGACTCAATATAGTCTACTAGCCGAGACTCTTCTTTATGTGTCCAGATGTGACGTAATGACTCAATATAGTCTACTAGCCGAGACTCTTCTTTATGTGTACAGATGTGACGTAATGACTCAATATAGTCTACTAGCCGAGACTCTTCTTTATGTGTACAGATGTGACGTAATGACTCAATATAGTCTACTAGCCGAGACTCTTCTTTATGTGTCCAGATGTGACTTAATGACTCAATATAGTCTACTAGCCGAGACTCTTCTTTATGTGTCCAGATGTGACGTAATGACTCAATATAGTCTACTAGCCGAGACTCTTCTTCATGTGTCCAGATGTGACGTAATGACTCAATATAGTCTACTAGCCGAGACTCTTCTTCATGTGTCCAGATGTGACGTAATGACTCAATATAGTCTACTAGCCGAGACTCTTCTTCATGTGTACAGATGTGTGTGTACAGATGTGTGTGTGTGCAGATGTGACGCAATGACTCAAAGATATGCTCAAATCTCCCATGGAAATCCACCAGTACCACTGGAATTAAAAACATTATCACAAGCTTACCGCTTTGAATCGAGCTAAGGCAAGCAGAGAGTTTTGAACACTGACTGGTTATGTATTTTCTCAAATATGTATTTTGGATAATTTTTAACCCAAAAAAGTGCTACGGACTGCAGCTTTAATGGAAACAATGTCATTTCGCACTCGTTTTTATCGACATTTAGAAAAAACAAAGCGCAAAAGTTTTGCACATCTGTAATGGAAACACGCCTACTTTCCAGACCCTTCACCCTCTCTCTTCCTCTCTGGTGGAACGAGCTGCACACCTCCACCCGAACTGCTGACACCATCACAGCTTTCAGGAATACACACCTTTTCCACACTCATGCTTGTTCCCCAATCTAGCTCTCTAACAAACATGGCATTGTAGGGTGAATAATATCCTCTTTCAGATGAGGCGTGTGTCTCGCACCTGAAGCCGATCTGGTTGATGTGGTCGGTCTCCAGAAGCATCTTCCACAGCAGACACAGGAACAGCGGCGGAGAGCCCTGCATGGAGAAGTGCGTGATGATGTCGTTCTCGTTGGTCATGGACTTCCACTTGCGGTACTCCTCCTCCACGTTCTTCTTCAGGTTAAAGCGGCTCTCCTGAGGAACATTATTCTGCTTGAAGAACGCCTGGAGGATGAATACAACAGAGAACTCAAGTTATTATTCATCAGATTAAAGGCCCGTTCACTCCAAGAGCTATAACTGTAAAGGGGCTCTTCCCAACTTGTAGTGGTTCATTTGAGCCATTAGTCGACTAGTTGCATGTTTATGATATTAATTAAATTACTTAAATATATATGGTGGGGCATTGAAAAATGGTTTGAGATTGAGTATTATATGTAGCATTGCTAACATTGTTCTACATTACAGAGGAATACTAAACCAGAATAATGATCCCAAAAAACTTGCCGCAGCACACCGGGGAAAAAAATTATTATTAATGTGCCGGAAAAAAACAAAAGTGAAGCGAGTTAGAGTGTGTGTGTGGTGTGTGTGTGTGTGTGTGTGTGTGTATGAATACCTGCAGCGGAGCAGGGAAGCAGCTGAGTGTGTGAGAGGCCCAGTTATGAGGTGTGAAGTTCATGATGGTCTGCAGGATGTCTTTACACCAGGTGCCCTGAATAGAGTCCGAGCCAGTGAAGAAATCTGCACAAAAGAAATGTCAAGCAAACTGAAAAACTGTGCATAAAAAAATTGGTGTCAGATTATACTATGCATTCTCTTACTGGATAAAATATGATATTTCTGAAAAAAAATAGTTAGAAAAAGTTAGATATAATTATCATCACTGGACAAGAAATGCACCCCATATTATAGAATGACCCCTGCACATCAACTGCTAATGTATCATGAGTGAAGTGTGTTGCTGGTGTGAGGACCTGTGACGTGTGTATCATCATGAGTGGAGTGTGTTGCTGGTGTGAGTACCTGTGACGTGTGTATCATCATGAGTGGAGTGTGTTGCTGGTGTGAGTACCTGTGACGTGTGTATCATCATGAGTGGAGTGTGTTGCTGGTGTGAGTACCCGTGACGTGTGTATCATCATGAGTGGAGTGTGTTGCTGGTGTGAGTACCTGTGACGTGTGTATCATCATGAGTGGAGTGTGTTGCTGGTGTGAGTACCTGTGACGTGTGTATCATCATGAGTGGAGTGTGTTGCTGGTGTGAGTACCTGTGACGTGTGTATCATCATGAGTGGAGTGTGTTGGTGGTGTGAGTACCTGTGACGTGTGTATCATCATGGGTGGAGTGTGTTGCTGGTGTGATTACCTGTGACGTGTGTATCATCATGAGTGGAGTGTGTTGCTGGTGTGAGTACCTGTGACGTGTGTATCATCATGAGTGGAGTGTGTTGCTGGTGTGAGTACCTGTGACGTGTGTATCCTCATGAGTGGAGTGTGTTGCTGGTGTGAGTACCTGTGACGTGTGTATCATCATGAGTGGAGTGTGTTGCTGGTGTGAGTACCCGTGACGTGTGTATCATCATGAGTGGAGTGTGTTGGTGGTGTGAGTACCTGTGACGTGTGTATCATCATGAGTGGAGTGTGTTGCTGGTGTGAGTACCTGTAACGTGTGTATCATCATGAGTGGAGTGTGTTGCTGGTGTGAGTACCTGTGACGTGTGTATCATCATGAGTGGAGTGTGTTGCTGGTGTGAGTACCTGTGACGTGTGTATCATCATGAGTGGAGTGTGTTGCTGGTGTGAGTACCTGTGACGTGTGTATCCTCATGAGTGGAGTGTGTTGCTGGTGTGAGTACCTGTGACGTGTGTATCATCATGAGTGGAGTGTGTTGCTGGTGTGAGTACCTGTGACGTGTGTATCATCATGAGTGGAGTGTGTTGCTGGTGTGAGTACCTGTGACGTGTGTATCATCATGAGTGGAGTGTGTTGCTGGTGTGAGTACCCGTGACGTGTGTATCATCATGAGTGGAGTGTGTTGCTGGTGTGAGTACCTGTGACGTGTGTATCCTCATGAGTGGAGTGTGTTGCTGGTGTGAGTACCTGTGACGTGTGTATCCTCATGAGTGGAGTGTGTTGCTGGTGTGAGTACCTGTGACGTGTGTATCATCATGAGTGGAGTGTGTTGCTGGTGTGAGTACCTGTGACGTGTGTATCATCATGAGTGGAGTGTGTTGCTGGTGTGAGTACCTGTGACGTGTGTATCATCATGAGTGGAGTGTGTTGCTGGTGTGAGTACCTGTGACGTGTGTATCATCATGAGTGGAGTGTGTTGCTGGTGTGAGTACCTGTGACGTGTGTATCATCATGAGTGGAGTGTGTTGCTGGTGTGAGTACCTGAGACGTGTGTATCATCAAGAGTGGAGTGTGTTGCTGGTGTGAGTACCCGTGACGTGTGTATCATCGTGAGTGGAGTGTGTTGCTGGTGTGAGTACCCGTGACGTGTGTATCATCATGAGTGGAGTGTGTTGCTGGTGTGAGTACCCGTGACGTGTGTATCATCATGAGTGGAGTGTGTTGCTGGTGTGAGTACCTGTGACGTGTGTATCATCATGAGAGGAGTGTGTTGCTGGTGTGAGTACCTGTGACGTGTGTATCATCATGAGAGGAGTGTGTTGCTGGTGTGAGTACCTGTGACGTGTGTATCATCATGAGTGGAGTGTGTTGCTGGTGTGAGTAACCGTGACGTGTGTATCATCATGAGTGGAGTGTGTTGCTGGTGTGAGTACCTGTGACGTGTGTATCATCATGAGTGGAGTGTGTTGCTGGTGTGAGTACCTGTGACGTGTGTATCATCATGAGTGGAGTGTGTTGCTGGTGTGAGTACCTGTGACGTGTGTATCATCATGAGAGGAGTGTGTTGCTGGTGTGAGTACCCGTGACGTGTGTATCATCATGAGTGGAGTGTGTTGCTGGTGTGAGTACCTGTGACGTGTGTATCATCATGAGAGGAGTGTGTTGCTGGTGTGAGTACCCGTGACGTGTGTATCATCATGAGTGGAGTGTGTTGCTGGTGTGAGTACCCGTGACGTGTGTATCCTCATGAGTGGAGTGTGTTGCTGGTGTGAGTACCCGTGACGTGTGTATCGTCATGAGTGGAGTGTGTTGCTGGTGTGAGTACCTGTGACGTGTGTATCATCATGAGAGGAGTGTGTTGCTGGTGTGAGTACCTGTGACGTGTGTATCATCATGAGAGGAGTGTGTTGCTGGTGTGAGTACCTGTGACGTGTGTATCATTATGAGTGGAGTGTGTTGCTGGTGTGAGTACCCGTGACGTGTGTATCATCATGAGTGGAGTGTGTTGCTGGTGTGAGTACCCGTGACGTGTGTATCATCATGAGAGGAGTGTGTTGCTGGTGTGAGTACCTGTGACGTGTGTATCATCATGAGTGGAGTGTGTTGCTGGTGTGAGTACCTGTGACGTGTGTATCATCATGAGTGGAGTGTGTTGCTGGTGTGAGTACCTGTGACGTGTGTATCATCATGAGTGGAGTGTGTTGCTGGTGTGAGTACCTGTGACGTGTGTATCATCATGAGTGGAGTGTGTTGCTGGTGTGAGTACCTGTGACGTGTGTATCATCATGAGTGGAGTGTGTTGCTGGTGTGAGTACCTGTGACGTGTGTATCATCATGAGCTGAGTGTGTTGCTGGTGTGAGTACCTGTGACGTGTGTATCATCATGAGTGGAGTGTGTTGCTGGTGTGAGTACCTGTGACGTGTGTATCCTCATGAGTGGAGTGTGTTGCTGGTGTGAGTACCTGTGACGTGTGTATCATCATGAGTGGAGTGTGTTGCTGGTGTGAGTACCTGTGACGTGTGTATCATCATGAGTGGAGTGTGTTGCTGGTGTGAGTACCCGTGACGTGTGTATCATCATGAGTGGAGTGTGTTGCTGGTGTGAGTACCTGTGACGTGTGTATCATCATGAGAGGAGTGTGTTGCTGGTGTGAGTACCTGTGACGTGTGTATCATCATGAGAGGAGTGTGTTGCTGGTGTGAGTACCTGTGACGTGTGTATCATCATGAGTGGAGTGTGTTGCTGGTGTGAGTACCCGTGACGTGTGTATCATCATGAGTGGAGTGTGTTGCTGGTGTGAGTACCTGTGACGTGTGTATCATCATGAGTGGAGTGTGTTGCTGGTGTGAGTACCCGTGACGTGTGTATCATCATGAGTGGAGTGTGTTGCTGGTGTGAGTACCTGTGACGTGTGTATCATCATGAGAGGAGTGTGTTGCTGGTGTGAGTACCTGTGACGTGTGTATCATCATGAGAGGAGTGTGTTGCTGGTGTGAGTACCTGTGACGTGTGTATCATCATGAGTGGAGTGTGTTGCTGGTGTGAGTACCCGTGACGTGTGTATCATCATGAGTGGAGTGTGTTGCTGGTGTGAGTACCCGTAACGTGTGTATCATCATGAGAGGAGTGTGTTGCTGGTGTGAGTACCTGTGACGTGTGTATCATCATGAGTGGAGTGTGTTGCTGGTGTGAGTACCTGTGACGTGTGTATCATCATGAGTGGAGTGTGTTGCTGGTGTGAGTACCTGTGACGTGTGTATCATCATGAGTGGAGTGTGTTGCTGGTGTGAGTACCTGTGACGTGTGTATCATCATGAGTGGAGTGTGTTGCTGGTTTGAGTACCTGTGACGTGTGTATCATCATGAGTGGAGTGTGTTGCTGGTGTGAGAACCTGTGACGTGTGTATCCTCATGAGTGGAGTGTGTTGCTGGTGTGAGTACCTGTGACGTGTGTATCATCATGAGTGGAGTGTGTTGCTGGTGTGATTACCTGTGACGTGTGTATCATCATGAGTGGAGTGTGTAGCTGGTGTGAGTACCTGTGACGTGTGTATCATCATGAGTGGAGTGTGTTGCTGGTGTGAGTACCTGTGACGTGTGTATCATCATGAGTGGAGTGTGTTGCTGGTGTGAGTACCTGTGACGTGTGTATCATCATGAGTGGAGTGTGTTGCTGTTGTGAGTACCTGTGACGTGATTATCCTCATGAGTGGAGTGTGTTGCTGGTGTGAGTACCTGTGACGTGTGTATCCTCATGAGTGGAGTGTGTTGCTGGTGTGAGTACCCGTGACGTGTGTATCATCATGAGTGGAGTGTGTTGCTGGTGTGAGTACCTGTGACGTGTGTATCATCATGAGTGGAGTGTGTTGCTGGTGTGAGTACCTGTGACGTGTGTATCATCATGAGTGGAGTGTGTTGCTGGTGTGAGTACCTGTGACGTGTGTATCATCATGAGTGGAGTGTGTTGCTGGTTTGAGTACCTGTGACGTGTGTATCATCATGAGTGGAGTGTGTTGCTGGTGTGAGTACCTGTGACGTGTGTATCCTCATGAGTAAAGTGTGTTGCTGGTGTGAGTACCTGTGACGTGTGTATCATCATGAGTGGAGTGTGTTGCTGGTGTGATTACCTGTGACGTGTGTATCATCATGAGTGGAGTGTGTAGCTGGTGTGAGTACCTGTGACGTGTGTATCATCATGAGTGGAGTGTGTTGCTGGTGTGAGTACCTGTGACGTGTGTATCATCATGAGTGGAGTGTGTTGCTGTTGTGAGTACCTGTGACGTGTGTATCATCATGAGTGGAGTGTGTTGCTGTTGTGAGTACCTGTGACGTGTGTATCATCATGAGTGGAGTGTGTTGCTGGTGTGAGTACCTGTGACGTGTGTATCATCATGAGTGGAGTGTGTTGCTGGTGTGAGTACCTGTGACGTGTGTATCCTCATGAGTGGAGTGTGTTGCTGGTGTGAGTACCCGTGACGTGTGTATCATCATGAGTGGAGTGTGTTGCTGGTGTGAGTACCCGTGACGTGTGTATCATCATGAGAGGAGTGTGTTGCTGGTGTGAGTACCTGTGACGTGTGTATCATCATGAGTGGAGTGTGTTGCTGGTGTGAGTACCTGTGACGTGTGTATCATCATGAGTGGAGTGTGTTGCTGGTGTGAGTACCTGTGACGTGTGTATCATCATGAGTGGAGTGTGTTGCTGGTGTGAGTACCTGTGACGTGTGTATCATCATGAGTGGAGTGTGTTGCTGGTGTGAGTACCTGTGACGTGTGTATCCTCATGAGTGGAGTGTGTTGCTGGTGTGAGTACCTGTGACGTGTGTATCATCATGAGCTGAGTGTGTTGCTGGTGTGAGTACCTGTGACGTGTGTATCATCATGAGTGGAGTGTGTTGCTGGTGTGAGTACCTGTGACGTGTGTATCCTCATGAGTGGAGTGTGTTGCTGGTGTGAGTACCTGTGACGTGTGTATCATCATGAGTGGAGTGTGTTGCTGGTGTGAGTACCTGTGACGTGTGTATCATCATGAGTGGAGTGTGTTGCTGGTGTGAGTACCCGTGACGTGTGTATCATCATGAGTGGAGTGTGTTGCTGGTGTGAGTACCCGTGACGTGTGTATCATCATGAGAGGAGTGTGTTGCTGGTGTGAGTACCCGTGACGTGTGTATCATCATGAGTGGAGTGTGTTGCTGGTGTGAGTACCCGTGACGTGTGTATCATCATGAGAGGAGTGTGTTGCTGGTGTGAGTACCTGTGACGTGTGTATCATCATGAGTGGAGTGTGTTGCTGGTGTGAGTACCTGTGACGTGTGTATCATCATGAGTGGAGTGTGTTGCTGGTGTGAGTACCTGTGACGTGTGTATCATCATGAGTGGAGTGTGTTGCTGGTGTGAGTACCTGTGACGTGTGTATCATCATGAGTGGAGTGTGTTGCTGGTTTGAGTACCTGTGACGTGTGTATCATCATGAGTGGAGTGTGTTGCTGGTGTGAGTACCTGTGACGTGTGTATCCTCATGAGTGGAGTGTGTTGCTGGTGTGAGTACCTGTGACGTGTGTATCATCATGAGTGGAGTGTGTTGCTGGTGTGATTACCTGTGACGTGTGTATCATCATGAGTGGAGTGTGTAGCTGGTGTGAGTACCTGTGACGTGTGTATCATCATGAGTGGAGTGTGTTGCTGGTGTGAGTACCTGTGACGTGTGTATCATCATAAGTGGAGTGTGTTGCTGGTGTGAGTACCTGTGACGTGTGTATCATCATGAGTGGAGTGTGTTGCTGGTGTGAGTACCTGTGACGTGTGTATCATCATGAGTGGAGTGTGTTGCTGGTGTGAGTACCTGTGACGTGTGTATCATCATGAGTGGAGTGTGTTGCTGGTGTGAGTACCTGTGACGTGTGTATCATCATGAGTGGAGTGTGTTGCTGGTGTGAGTACCTGTGACGTGTGTATCCTCATGAGTGGAGTGTGTTGCTGGTGTGAGTACCTGTGACGTGTGTATCATAAGTGGAGTGCGTTGCTGGTGTGATTACCTGTGACGTGTGTATCCTCATGAGTGGAGTGTGTTGGTGGTGTGAGTACCTGTGACGTGTGTATCATCATGAGTGGAGTGTGTAGCTGGTGTGAGTACCTGTGACGTGTGTATCATCATGAGTGGAGTGTGTTGCTGGTGTGAGTACCTGTGACGTGTGTATCATCATGAGTGGAGTGTGTTGCTGGTGTGAGTACCTGTGACGTGTGTATCATCATGAGTGGAGTGTGTTGCTGGTTTGAGTACCTGTGACGTGTGTATCATCATGAGTGGAGTGTGTTGCTGGTGTGAGTACCTGTGACGTGTGTATCCTCATGAGTGGAGTGTGTTGCTGGTGTGAGTACCCGTGACGTGTGTATCATCATGAGAGGAGTGTGTTGCTGGTGTGAGTACCCGTGACGTGTGTATCATCATGAGAGGAGTGTGTTGCTGGTGTGAGTACCCGTGACGTGTGTATCATCATGAGAGGAGTGTGTTGCTGGTGTGAGTACCTGTGACGTGTGTATCATCATGAGTGGAGTGTGTTGCTGGTGTGAGTACCTGTGACGTGTGTATCATCATGAGTGGAGTGTGTTGCTGGTGTGAGTACCTGTGACGTGTGTATCATCATGAGTGGAGTGTGTTGCTGGTGTGATTACCTGTGACGTGTGTATCATCATGAGTGGAGTGTGTAGCTGGTGTGAGTACCTGTGACGTGTGTATCATCATGAGTGGAGTGTGTTGCTGGTGTGAGTACCTGTGACGTGTGTATCATCATGAGTGGAGTGTGTTGCTGGTGTGAGTACCTGTGACGTGTGTATCATCATGAGTGGAGTGTGTTGCTGGTGTGAGTACCTGTGACGTGTGTATCATCATGAGTGGAGTGTGTTGCTGGTGTGAGTACCTGTGACGTGTGTATCATCATGAGTAAAGTGTGTTGCTGGTGTGAGTACCTGTGACGTGTGTATCATCATGAGTGGAGTGTGTTGCTGGTGTGAGTACCTGTGACGTGTGTATCATCATGAGTGGAGTGTGTTGCTGGTGTGATTACCCGTGACGTGTGTATCATCATGAGTGGAGTGTGTTGCTGGTGTGAGTACCTGTGACGTGTGTATCATCATGAGTGGAGTGTGTTGCTGGTGTGATTACCCGTGACGTGTGTATCATCATGAGTGGAGTGTGTTGCTGGTGTGAGTACCTGTGACGTGTGTATCATAAGTGGAGTGCGTTGCTGGTGTGATTACCTGTGACGTGTGTATCCTCATGAGTGGAGTGTGTTGGTGGTGTGAGTACCTGTGACGTGTGTATCATCATGAGTGGAGTGTGTAGCTGGTGTGAGTACCTGTGACGTGTGTATCATCATGAGTGGAGTGTGTTGCTGGTGTGAGTACCTGTGACGTGTGTATCATCATGAGTGGAGTGTGTTGCTGGTGTGAGTACCTGTGACGTGTGTATCATCATGAGTGGAGTGTGTTGCTGGTTTGAGTACCTGTGACGTGTGTATCATCATGAGTGGAGTGTGTTGCTGGTGTGAGTACCTGTGACGTGTGTATCCTCATGAGTGGAGTGTGTTGCTGGTGTGAGTACCCGTGACGTGTGTATCATCATGAGAGGAGTGTGTTGCTGGTGTGAGTACCCGTGACGTGTGTATCATCATGAGAGGAGTGTGTTGCTGGTGTGAGTACCCGTGACGTGTGTATCATCATGAGAGGAGTGTGTTGCTGGTGTGAGTACCTGTGACGTGTGTATCATCATGAGTGGAGTGTGTTGCTGGTGTGAGTACCTGTGACGTGTGTATCATCATGAGTGGAGTGTGTTGCTGGTGTGAGTACCTGTGACGTGTGTATCATCATGAGTGGAGTGTGTTGCTGGTGTGATTACCTGTGACGTGTGTATCATCATGAGTGGAGTGTGTAGCTGGTGTGAGTACCTGTGACGTGTGTATCATCATGAGTGGAGTGTGTTGCTGGTGTGAGTACCTGTGACGTGTGTATCATCATGAGTGGAGTGTGTTGCTGGTGTGAGTACCTGTGACGTGTGTATCATCATGAGTGGAGTGTGTTGCTGGTGTGAGTACCTGTGACGTGTGTATCATCATGAGTGGAGTGTGTTGCTGGTGTGAGTACCTGTGACGTGTGTATCATCATGAGTAAAGTGTGTTGCTGGTGTGAGTACCTGTGACGTGTGTATCATCATGAGTGGAGTGTGTTGCTGGTGTGAGTACCTGTGACGTGTGTATCATCATGAGTGGAGTGTGTTGCTGGTGTGATTACCCGTGACGTGTGTATCATCATGAGTGGAGTGTGTTGCTGGTGTGAGTACCTGTGACGTGTGTATCATCATGAGTGGAGTGTGTTGCTGGTGTGAGTACCTGTGACGTGTGTAGCTCGAGCCAGCGTGAGGATGAGCGCTCGGTTCAGCTCCTCGGACTCCGCCGACAGCACAGTTTTAGGGTCGTTGAGGAAGCGTGTGAACTGAGGCTGAACCTCTGAACTGCCCAGAGCCGTGATGAGCCTCAGAGCCGTGCTCTCCACACTGCACACACACACACACACACACACACAGTGAGACGACACCACCTACCACAGCTGTATACACAGAGCATGCTGTATCCCATAATGCAATGTGCTTGACTCTACATTTCCAGTGAAAGGTGCAAGTAATATCATCGGTGACTTATATTTCTTAACTCGTTGTTTGATTGGACTTTTTCACAAAAAACTGAATTAAACATTTTAAAGACATAGTGTGAGTGTAATAGTACACTAAAAAGGATGGTAAGTTTCGCAGTTTAGAACGGTTGGATGTGTTTTCAGTACAACACAGGGAGAAAACTAAATGGTAACACTTCAAAACAAAACAAGGTTCCTTTGTTAACATGAGTTTACCACATTTAACATTTAATATGTCAAATACTTCTAACACATTTATTAATGTTAATTCCAACATTTACTAATACATTATTAAAATCAAAAGTTGTATCTGTTCATATTTAATGAACCTGAATGAACGTGAACTAACAGTGAAGTTATATTTTGCATTGTTTGTATGATGTATTGCTCATTGTTAAGCATTAATTAACGTTAACTAACGAAATCTTATTGTAAAGTGTTACCAACAAAACAATTTTTTTTTCTTTTTTGAAGAAACTATGTCTGTCTTTAAAATAAAAACTCTGTCAGTACAGGTGGAAAACACTCTTTGTGTTGCTGTTTATCTGTTGTAAATAAGGGAAGAGATTTGAAGTGCTTCTACTTTTGGATGAAAAATATTTAGCAAAATGTATATTTTAGTAAGTAAGAATAGTTTAGTTTATTTTATTTTAGTAAGAACTATTGCACCCCGTCTGTTTGACGTGCATGTGCTCGCCGGCGCTTATTCAGTGTAGACTGAAGTTTTAACAGAGACACGTGTGGCTTTTTTTTGCCATCATTACAGATGATACAGCCATAAGATTTATGCGAAATACTCCTCTCAAATGCAATGGGAAACTCAGTGTTTCAGATTACGTTCAGCACACACAGAACTGCAGGCATGTAGAGTTGAACATTAGTTTGGTACACATGCATGCCGAACCGAAAGACTCGTAATGAAAACTTTGGGTATGAGTACGTCTACTGTTACACCCCTACAAAGATGATAACTGGCAGACTCTTGCTGAATGAAGAGTATTGAGGTGAAGTCATGACCTGCACTCCCGCGCAGGTCTCTAGCTTAAAGCATGAAGTAGTGTTGGTGTGAGTGTGTGGGCGGAGTCTAATCAGTGTTGGTGTGAGTGTGTGGGCGGAGTCTAACCAGTGTTGGTGTGAGTGTGTGGGCGGAGTCTAATCAGTGTTGGTGTGAGTGTGTGGGCGGAGTCTAACCAGTGTTGGTGTGAGTGTGTGGGCGGAGTCTAATCAGTGTTGGTGTGAGTGTGTGGGCGGAGTCTAATCAGTGTTGGTGTGAGTGTGTGGGCGGAGTCTAACCAGTGTTGGTGTGAGTGTGTGGGCGGAGTCTAATCAGTGTTGGTGTGAGTGTGTGGGCGGAGTCTAACCAGTGTTGGTGTGAGTGTGTGGGCGGAGTCTAATCAGTGTTGGTGTGAGTGTGTGGGCGGAGTCTAACCAGTGTTGGTGTGAGTGTGTGGGCGGAGTCTAATCAGTGTTGGTGTGAGTGTGTGGGCGGAGTCTAATCAGTGTTGGTGTGAGTGTG